AAATACTGAGATCTATCAGGGTAAATGATAAGCACTATAAAAAAAAACAAAACAAAACAAAACAAAAAAAAAAACTCCAAAAACATATACACACACACACACACAAAAAAAAAGACATTAAGAAATAAGGAGAAAAGTAAATTAATGAAATTAAATTAGACCTCCAAAACACCTAAGTTATTGAATCATTAAAAAAATAAATCTGCATTCAAAGTCAGGAAGGGAGGAAAAATTTATAATAACAGGTCATTAAGAGAAAACCTGAACACAACCATCAGCTGGTCTCTCTGCCAGGCACCCAAAGGTTAGAGGGGAATTCACTATTGAACAATTGAAGGGACTAATGAACAACAGTGCCTCAGCTAATTCAGAGATCTGTTAAGAAAACAGTGGGATAAATGTGGGGAAGAGATCCTGAGTAGTTATAGTGTGGCACAGACCCTGCAGAGCCATTGCTCCCTCATTCTCCCATCTGTGATGGAGAAAGGCCCTGCCAAGGCTTTCACAGCAATGGCCCATGGTATGCTTTGTTGGTAGCCGTCTTCCCTCTCACAGAGAAGTGTCTCAATACTTGGAGGTGCCTGACCTTAGGTGTGGGCTCTCCAAACCGCAGAGAAAGTACTGCCCCATTTTCCTCTTTCTACTATGGAGGAGCACACCAAAATCATGCTGTGACACCCTTATGCTGTGACAGTTGTGAACATCTTGCAGGGGGCAGAGCAGAAGGCAGAAGACTAAGACATCCAAGGTTGGCTTAGTTTGAATTTCTGTCCCGTTTAGAAATCTGATCTGTTACCAATGGAACTTGGGGATGGAATGCAGAGAGATAAAGTGGTGCCTGGAAATACAGAGGTACATACCTCTATGCCTCCATCACTGCTCAAAAACAAACGAAAAAAGAACACACAAAAAAACCAAACCACCACCACCACCACCAAAAACAAATAATACCTACAGCCCCAACTCTACCCAGGTAAAATACACAAATAGGGCAGGTTACCTGCAAAGTCTAGCAACAGGCAGGAAATTTCCACTCTACAGTAAGCAGGTGTTCCATGCCACCCATTTACCTTCCCGCCTCATTTTTTGCTCTGTCCAAATGCATGTGATGTGAGACTTTTCAGATGGTGAACCCAGGATTGCAAGGGCCCCTGTGTTTGCACACCACCCAGCCCCTCTGTTTACAGCTATGGTAATTAACTCGTAAACAAAGTTTCAGCACATGAACTGAAAACGAGCCATAGATAAAGGGTAATGAAAACACTCAATTACAGAAAGGGCCAAATTAAACAACTCTTAATTGAAAAATTAAAATTAATATGAAGTCAGATGAACTAAACAAGCACAATATTGAAGAGGCAGCAAAGTGGATGAACCTCTCACATACCAATTAAAGACATGGAGGCAGAGATGCACCATACGCTATGAGAACCACTCATAATAATATTCTCACCAAGCCAGTAAGCTTGATTAGTGTTATTACTCTCACTTGTACACTTCCTACATCTCCAAAAGCACAGGGAAAGTTAATGATATTTATCTGGTATCATACTGCTGTGGCTTGTCCCAGTGCTCAGGCATTATTGGAAAAGGTTGCCAGCATATCTCCTTAGTTCTATTTCATGATTAACTTCTTGCAGGACTCTTTAAAGAAAAAAAAAACAAACAAAAAAAACTATTGAAAAGGTTGGCTCACACAACAGCAACATTTTCAGCTTCTCCATCACCTTGATAATCTACTACCAAGCAGCCCATTCGTCCTGGTCATTCACCTCCAGCTACACGGTCATCACAAACTTGCTGCATGGGTGGGAACCCTCTGGCCCTGTGCCTGGCCTAAGTGTGAGAATCACCTGAAAATAGTCAGGTTGTCACCTGCTGAGTGTAGTTATGAAAGGTTGGAACCTCAAACCTCAGAAAGAGCAACAACACTACTCTCATTTTAATAAGCCAAATCAATCTGTTACTGACCTTTGGTATTATAGATAATGGCATTTAAAGTTTGAAAATGTCACATATTAATAAACTCAATAGAGATAACTTCTCTAAATCCACATGTTACGTTTAAGAGAATCTTTTGAGATAAAGGCTCTAATTTAAGTCAAACATTAAAATACTTGTCAGCTTGAGGCTGTTTTCATCACTTCAAGTTGCTTATTCAGGATATACATCCCTGCAGAAATCTATTTACCCCACCTACATTGTACAAGATGGTCTGGGTTGATTTTAGTAGCAGCACTTAAACTCTCCCGAATATTTTTCTCAATGCATTGATTAATGTGATCCATTTCAAGTACTGTGCAAAACGGCCACAGTGACATCTGGTCTGACTTGTGTCTCATCGGGAAAATCAAATCTTTTTCCCACGTTGCCCAGTGGGAGGATGCTCACAATCCTCCCAGCAGCAGCCAGTTCAGTGCTGGAGATGGTATATGCAAGGCAAGGAATGCTGCCTTCAAAAAAATAATAATAAAAAAAAAAAATACATGCTCATCTTCTCTGTAAATGGAAGATTTGAATATCTTTTCCTGAATTCAATATTCTCTCAAACCAATAACTTTTGTGGCCTCTGATGGCTATTTGTAGTGTTCTGCTGGAGGTTTTACACGCAAGCAGTTCCTATATATCATTCTCTCAATTGCACTCTCCGAATTTCACTTTCATATTGAATTTCATAGGTGATTTACTTTCTCTTTGACTACTACCTCCTGAGAAATAATCCCATGAATGAAAATAAGGGGCAGATATCACTCTTAGGTGAGGATCCAGTGGGAACCCGCATGAAACGCTGCAAGAGCCCATGGCATGCGATATCCACAACAATCTGAGAAACCACGCACATTAATGACCTACAGGAGAGAGAGCAGTGCTGAGAGATGGGAGGAACTGCAGGCTTCAGTGAGAATGCAGAAATAGAGACCTCCCTCATCAGTTAGAAACACATACAAGGGAAAAAAAATAAAAAGATGATGCAAAATTGTAAATATTATGAAGAAGGGAATAAAGATCAATTGTTGGCTGCCTCTTCCAAGAGAAGTGTGTGGCATTAAATGATGCTCAGGGATTCAAAGCAAGATGTACTTCATTCATGCGATTCTGCTGTGGAAGCCTTTGCCACCAGATACTGAAGTATTTACATGAATTTGAAACCCTGGTAAGCTCTCAAAGCACTCAGTAAGTATCACAGAGTATTGCCCTGCTCTCAGACCCATCCCAACATCAACCTCACACCATGGTCTAAGCTGGTGGCCATGACTGTCCTTAGAAAATGCTATAATAAAGGGAGAAACAACTCATACTAAGAGTGCTAAGCTGAAACATGAGAGAAATATCAAGCAACATGACCAAAGCTAGGAATTGATTTTTGACACAAAATAAGAGTTATGAACAAGGAGGCTTCATGTAGCATGTGGTAAGGGATGCTCTGGTGCTGACTCTCTGGAAGGATCAGTGGGAACAGACACTTCTCCCCATCAGTGGTGCTCAGGGCTTTTATATGACCCTCAGGCACTCACACAATAGATGCCATAGGAATTCTGTTGCTTCTCTTTCCCCTTTCATGATGAGCAAAATGCCACTCGAGGACTTTCTCCTGGAATACTTGTGCCTTTAGCAGCACCTATTGCTCAGAACATGCACATCATTGGGGGCTTCTGCAGGCCACGTTTGCCTTGAACTCCTGGGCAAGGGGCCATGGCAGAGAGATCCCCTAGGTTTAAAAACCCAGCAGTAAAGGAAGAGTTGTGTTTGCTCATTAGCCTGCTACAGAATGACAGGCAGCATGCCAGAGAGCTGGAATGAGTTAGCCACTTCTTCCTTTCCCAGTCAGATAACATAATGGCTCTCAGTGCCAGGAGGATGTCCCAGATGTGAAGCAGTGCATGCAGTGCACAAGGCCTTCCTGCCAGCCCAGCGTCAGATGGTGGATGCAGGCAACACTGACCTTCCACAGGTCCCTTTTCCCTGGGCTTTTTAACCTGTGCATGTGCAGAAGCAATTTCTTATGCAGCTCACTCTCTCTAGAGGTAAAATATTGGGTCCTGCTGCTCAGACAAAAATCCTATCTAATGGCCGGGAGGATTTCCAACAAAGGGACTTCTGAAGCCCAGTAGAAATCTCATCTGCGCACAGTGTCTACAAGCTGTTAGGTCAGCAGGAGTCCAGTTGACACAGTGGGCAAGAAGCCCAGCTCACTTTGAAACCAGGACTCACAGATTCACCTAACAGCAAACGCAACACTGTTGTAAATACTGCATCAGCAAAAATGGGTTCAAGTCTTGGCCATTACACCCCTGTGCCTCACAAGGATTCTGGAGGGAGCCAGGCACAAAGCAGTTGCTGGAGTCCGCCCAGATGGACTTCGTGTTGGATCTGCCCAAGAACATTCTGCAATGTCATCACAGGGCTGGCACAAATATTGCCCAAACTTTACATGTAATCAAAAAAATAAAGATCCACAGAAACATTCAGGGAAGCTGTATTTGAAGAGGCAAATGCAATGAGTTCGCAGAGATGTGCAGACATTACAGCTGAGGCTCACCTCTCAACTCTGCCCACAGAGGGGCCAACTACCTGCTGTGGCCCCCAGGTCTGAGTCCAGAGGGGCACACATGAGATCCATCCCACCCAGTCTGGCCACCCAGATCCTGACTCCAGCCAACTCTCATTCACCTGTACTACCAATACCTCAAAACCTTACAGATGTTCCTTGCACAGCAGTTCCCCTTCAGCGATTCAAGATTCCCTCTTTAACACACACACACACACACACCCCAAATCACCACTGCAACATCCCACACACAGCACATGTTGACAGACAAACCCCACATACAAATGGGCAAAAAAACAACTGGTCTGGCTGCCCACATTTTTAAAGGGAATGGACAGCCCAGGGGGTTCAATCTGAGAAGCAAACTCTGTCCCATGTGTCTCCTTTCTTCCAGGTTGGGATGAGCATGGCCAGGAGAGGCAGGACAAGGGGACCCGAGAAATACTGTTACCTGTATCCTGTCTTCTGGCAGCTCTGTTTTCATGGCCAGCATCTCTCTAGCATACACATCAGGGTAGTGAGCCTCATTGAAGGCCTTTTCCAGCTCCTCCAGTTGGTAGGATGTGAAGATTGTCCTGAGAGAAACAAAACTCTTTGACCAAAAAACATAACATGCAGCAAAGGAAATACGGAGTCAGAGAAATGAACACAGATGCTACAGAAACCTGAGTAATCGATAAAGCATAGTATTTCCCCTTCGCCTCCTGTGTTTTTGTGCACAAAAGGTCAGGTGTCAAGGTAAAAGGAGAACCTGAAAATGGCTGAAGACAGAGCTTGGTATAGTTACAAATCACCTTCCTGGTCAGGGACATCCTGCTGGGGACATCCCCCCATGGCCAGCAGAGGGGCAGAGAGCCTTCCCTGGAGCCTGGGCTCCCACTGAACCCTCCCAAGCCTTTACTCACTCTGTGCTCTACTGCTGCATCCTGCCCTTCTCTGGATTGGAGCTCCAGATGTGCAGTGCCAGCTCCCTCCCTCCACCTTCACACTGGTTGCTCCCACACTGATACCCCAGTAGCTGCTCTCTGTCAGCTGGCATTGCCTTGTTGTCCTCCAGGAACCTCCTGGGCAGGCAGCAGCCGCAGCATTGCTCACTCTTAGGACAGGCAGACTGAAAAGCAGGGACACCAAGGCAGCTGAGAGCCCTTCTCAGGGGATGGCCAAGAGGTCTCGGACCACTTCAACTCTGCAGGAACTGACGTTCTCACCCTAAAGCCCCGTTGTATGCAAAATGCGATTTTCAGTGAGAACTCACAGCATTTCGATGGCAAAAACAAACAAACAAAGCCAAACAGCAGACAAAAAAATCCTACCAGAAAAACAGCAACAACAGCAACTTACAACCTTTGTTCGAGGTAACTGTGCAAATTATTAAGAAACATACAGCAGCCGTAAGGAAAAAGAATGAAAAAAAAAAAAATATCGTTTTTTAAAAAATATGCAGGAGTTTCAGGAAAGCCACAAAATTCCAGAGGGCACAAACAGAAAGTCTCAAAAATATCCTCAGCTATTTAGAACCTGAACGATGCTGCCAGATAGATGGCATTACCTACAAAAGCAGCATGCAAATGCGAGGCACTTGCCCACCGTCAGCTCCCGGTCCCCGTTCACAACGAAATCCATTTTCTTTTTCAACACTTTTCGTTCCCACAAATGTGGGAAGTCTGGGGTCAGCGCACGGCGGCTCCTGCTTCTCCCCGGGAGCAAAGGAACGGCGCTCCCCGTTCGGATCCGGTTCAGCCGCGGAGCCCCGCACCTCCCGCGCCGGGGCAGTGCCCGGAGCCCACTCGGCTCTCCCCGCTGCCTCCCGGGCAGCCCGGCCCTGTGCAGCACACACCGCGCTCTGCCGTTTGCTGCTCAAATCCTGCAGCTATTTGCGAGCTATCGGCCTGTCAGCTGCTTCGGTACAACCACAGCCCTTAACCATTCCTTACAGAATGCATAACCACCGACCAGTGCTACGGGTCTGTAGCTGTTTGGAGCTGGAAACGGAACAGTTTCATGCGCTGTTTCAACTCGCAAGAAAGAAACGAATCCTCGTTGGCGCTGGAACAGCACCTGCCCGGCAGCACCCCGCTAGCTCAGGCAGAACCCCCGCACCTCCTGCTCGGATCCCTCTGGACCCACGCAGCCGCTGAGCTTTCGCTGGGGCACCTTTAATTCACCTCCCGCACCGTGGCGGGATTGATTTAATTGCTCCATAGTCAGCCCCGAAGGACGATGCCCAGGTGCCTTCATCCCGGCCCTGCGGCCGCAGCGGTGCCACGAGCCGAGGCGGGAGGTTCGTTTCCGATTTTAAAGCAAGGACATCCAACTCCATTCTCACTGCGGGAGGAGCGAGGGGAAGCGAGCCCCAGAGCATTCCCCAGAGCGAGTCTCCAGGCATTCCGCGGGCTGGGACTACCTCCCGACTATTGCATCTATTGGCGAAACATAAATTTTTAAGTAGCAAATTTTGAGATCCTTGATAGAAATTCTCCCTTGCTGACAGCCCAATTTTAGGTTGCTAAGCGAGGAGCGCTTTTGGTTATTTCACCTCTTCGCTTTGGGACGGGTTGGGAATTTTTTCAGCCCTAACCCGCAGCCAGAAAACCAAACCAAACCAAGCTAATCGCCGTTGCAATTCCCGCTCCTATGGGCACGTCCCGAATCCTACTTGCTGTGGACGCGAAGCGACAGCGGGGCCCGGTGCTGCCGGTTCCCGGGAGGAGATGCGGGGCCGCCAGGCTTTGCTTACCTGTGCCGCCTCTTCTTTCGTTTCTTGCTCTGGTTGAGGGAAGATTTGGACATTTTGCGGTCGCTGGAGGAGACATCCTCGGAATCTGCGGAGAGAAGGGCAGCGGGCGTGGGCTGGGGCTCGCTCCCCGCCGGAGCCCCGCAGATCCGCTCCCTCCGGCATCTCCGCCCGGAGCTTTCGTTGCGATCGCGGCGCGGCCGGGGACTGCGGGCTGCAGCCCGGTCCCGGCCCCGGCCCAGATCCCACTGCGGGCTGCTCGGGGACACCGTACCCCTCAGAGAAGGGCTGCGGGCCGGGAGCGGGCTCTCGCCGTCCCTTATGTCGCCCGGAGTCGTTTGCGGGGCTGCCGTTGTCGTGCCGCCGAAACGCGGAGACCGCGATCTCAACAAAATGTACGAAATGGAGGGAGCCGCGGCCCCCTCCCCGAGCCAGGGCACCCGTTGCCTCCCGCCCCGGGGCGGGGGACCCGCGCTGCTCAGCTGAAATGCCGGGAAGGAGGAAAAATAAAGGTTGCTGCAGCCATGGGGAAAAACATTGCCGGGAATGGCATCTGCCCGCGGCCGCCGCACGTCCCAGGGGTGCCTGGGCCGGGGGTGTTGCGGGCAGGGCGGTGCCGCCTTCGCCCCTCGGGAGCCGCCGGAGCTCGGAGCCGGGAGGCGCGTTTCGGTGCGGACCGCCTTGCCCCAGCACTGGCCCCGAGCTCCGGCCGCTTCTCGCCCGCCGCCTCCCGGCAGACGCCGGCCGAGGCTCAACGCTCCCGGCGGCCACGCTGCCGGAGGGGACGGCGGGCACGGTACGGGAGCTCCGGGAGGACGCTCGGTGACGAAGCGGGACACCGCTGCCCGCCGCTCCGGGGGCGGCCTGGGAGCGGGGTCTGCGGGCGGCTGTCGCCGTCTAGGATACTGGATGGAAGCGGGCCTTAATTTCTCGGCAACGAGTTGGGGCCGCCGGGGCCGAGCGAGGGCCGCTCCGCCGGTGTTCGGTGCAGCCACGGGCCGTGCCGTCACGGCGCGGCCGCGGCCTCAGCCGGGGAGGGCCGGTCCCGAGCTCCCTCGTTCTTTTCCTCCTTCTCCTCGGTTCCGAAACGAAATCACCTCTCCGCCGCCGGGCGCGGGGCTCCGAAGGTGCCTGCCGGCGGCGGTGCCCCCGTGGGCCGGGACCGTGCCTACCTGAGCTGGCCGTCTGGCTGCTGTCCAGCTGCCCGGGAGCTCGGGCCAAAGGCTGCAGGTGGACGCTCTGCGGGTCGGAGAGCACCTCCAGAAAGGTGGGCTGCGCATAGAAGCCGGGGATGCCTCCGGCCCCCAGCAACCCCATGCCCACGCCACCCACCCCGGCGGGGCTGAGGACGGAGCGGGCCGCCAGCAGGTGCCCGGCGGGAAGGGAGTCCAAGGCGGCCCGCGGGTGCGACGGCGGTTCCTTGTTCAAGCCCAGGATCTCCTGGATGCCGAAGCCGGTGCAGCGAGGAGGGGTGGGCCCGGAGCTGGGCTTGGCTCCCGCCGCGGGGGGCGGCGGCGGCGGGGCGGCGGCGGCCGCGCCGTCGGGCTTGGGCTTGCCGGGCAGGCTGGGGGCCAGCGCCGCGCCCGCTTTGCCCGTCATGCTGTGGCCGTCGGTCCCTGGTGCCCGCTCCGGGAATGCCTAGGAGCCCCCGGCTCAGGCCCCTTTTATCCGCCCAGCCGGGAGCCCGAGCGGGGTCAGAGCCGCGCAGCCAATCACAGGGGCCAGCCGCGATTAGGGATGCCAAAAAGCCGCCACCGGCACCGGCGGCGGTGGGGCCGGTGCCCGGCGGGGCAGGTCTGGGAGCTGGGCTCGGCGGAACAGGGCCCTGCCGCAAAACGGGGCTCCGGCCCGTGGGGCAGCGGCCCCGAGGAGGGATACGTGGAAGAGCCTCTGGGGAAAACGCCGGATCCCCGGGTCTGCCGCTCGTGCAGTGATCAACGGGTGGTCTGCAGGGAATTACGGTGCGTGGAGAGGACCTCAGGACTGAGGCTGAGCTGTGTTCTTTGAAGCAGAGTAGGGCTGAGCATTATGTGCTGGAGAAACATCTGGGTTGTGTCATCAGAGGACCAACACCACCCACCCACAGGCAGATCCACCACACGATGCTGTGGTAGCTGAGAGCATCTCTCACCACCCGTGGGCACAGTGCCACACACCTTGTCCCGCATGCCTGACCCCAACCTTTTCAACATTCATTGAAGAGAGATCCTCAGGCATCACCTGTGTCACTCACTCAAGCAGGTAGCTCCTTCACAGCATGTGCCTCTAGAAATGGGAGCAGCTACAGAAACTGGGATCTGTCTGGGATGGTCAAGGTCCTTTGGGATTGCTTAACAGCCCCTGGCAGCCCATACACTGTGCTCTGCGGATTTTGGGAATCCTAATTTAGAGTCTCGGCCTGCAAAAGGTTTCTGGGCTACTTCAGATGCCAGATGTCACACCTTCTCTGGACAAACCAACGGCACTCTCACTCTGATGGAATACTGCTAAGACTGTCCCCTACCAGATCACCATATCTGAAGCCCTTTGAAGTCCTGTGGCTCCCATGATCAGCACAGGTGCTGGGGCAACTACCTGCACATGGCACCTGCACCTACAGAACTGTCCTGGGTTCACACGTGGTGCAATAATGCACAAAGGCAGCATTTCGGCCTCAGCCCATGTTCTCAAACTTCTGTGGCCATCCTCCTTCTTCTCTTGCTTCTTCCTGAGGCCTGACTTTGCATCCCTACACAAGGAAAGGAATAAGTATTTGAGGATGATGACATTTTCTATCTTAAGTCCATCAGAGCTTATCAGCCTGAGGACCACTCTGCAGCAGGTGTCACCTCTGTCACTTTGTGCCTCCCTGAATGGCAGCTGGTGATCTGCAAGCGCAGTAGTTCATTCCACTGTTTACACAAAAGTCAAACTAGTCAGTCTGTAGAATTACATAGAGTCTTTCTCTCCTGTTTAATTCTCTTCTCATTGCTTTTCTCCCAACATTTCCCCACCTGCCCACTAGGGCATTTGCTGCCTTTGCTGCATGGTTCCACCCAATGTACCTGCACAGCCTCACCCCACTGCTACCTTGGGGGTGCTGGAGGCCCTCCCTTTTTCGGCCATGCCCCAGGGCTGTGATGGCAGCTTGCTCCCCCTCTGTCAAATTCTTTGTTACTCTGGTCACTGAGCTACAGAGCTCCATGTTTGGCAGTCTGCTTTTTAATATGCCTGCTCTCATTGCTCTTTGCCTCCCTGCAAGCTAGCACAGTTCCTGTGATTAGGAATCTGAACTCACATTTCAGTAAGTCCAGTGGACTTAAGTCACTGAACACTTACTTACATTTCAATATCTCTATGATTAATCTCCGGCAACCTTTTCAGCCTGCCATGATCAGAGTAAATATTGGCTTTATTGGAGCTTTCCTCATCCTAACAACTCCAACACTCCCCTGGGGAGAGCCCCTCAGAACCTTATCACATTTTCATACTCCAACACATTCTTTATCTTCCCCCATTGTTCTGCTGCATTAACTGTGATGCTGAACTTTTCCTCTTTTCTCATCTGTCTGCAAACCCATATTTCATCCTGAGCACATGCATTGGGTGCCCCATCCCTGGAGGTGCTTGAGGCCAGGTGGATAGGGCTCTGGGCAGCCTGATTTGGTGGGGGCAGCCCTGCCCACAGCATAGGGCTGGGACTGGATAGGCTTTAAGGTCATTTCCAACCCAAGCTTTTCTATTGCTCTGTTCTGCAATTAACCCAGTCTTGACTTTCTCCCACCCTTTTTCTGCATCCATGAACACTCTGAATTCCACCAGAAACATGTTGCCACCATCACCTCCCTCAGTCCGCAAAGAAGCGTCACTTCCCCTCCATCTCTACCATGTGTTGTGTGTAACTTCATTCAGCACCTGGTTCAAAGCCACCTTGCCCTCTGCCTCTACAAACTGCAATGGGTTCGCACTCACTGGGTCACAGGCCTAATGTTCCCATGCTCTTCCCTTGCTCCGCAGTGTCTTTTCTGTCCTTTCAGTGCAGCCTCACCTGTCCTGGTTTCCTTTGCATGTTCTACTGATGGAAGTGGCAACGCCAATTCTGCCTCTCTCTTTTCAAAGCCTGCATGGGGAAAAATACTTTGTATAAAAGTCTCTTCTAGTCCATTTTTATTTTAGTAGTTCTTTAACTTATGATCTACTGTAGTCACAGACACCGGGCATTTTCATTATCCTGCTGCCATATGTTGCACTGTAGATGGATATAGGACATGAGAATGCTAATATGACAAGAACAAACACTCACTGTATTAATAAAAACTGCTGAAGCACAAGGAGTGACTGAAGCTACCTACCTGCAGATGTCATAGATTCTCTCTGTCACATAAAGTCTTCAAACCAAGGCTGAAAGTCTTTTTAAGAGATGATCTATAACTCATCCAGAAACCATTGCTCTAATGCAGGAATTATTTGGTGGAGTTTTGTAGCCTGTTTTATGCTGAAGTTCAGACTAGAAGATGGTAGCAGTCCCTCCAGGCCTTAAAATCTTTGACTCCACAGAGCTCAAGTTGTCAGATACATTCCTCTAAAAGCAAACAAAAACCATAGGTGCTTCTGATATCTGCTACATCAGAGTCCTGTTGGGGACGTGTTTTCTTTACATCAGGTGCACTGATTTCTAAATAATCACCAGAAATACAAGAGATGACAAGGAGATTATGGCACCTGCTATGCCCGTTGCTAAATGCTTACAGCTGGCAGCTGCTGGCTGAATTACTGCAGCTCCAAATAGGCCTTGCTGTTTTGGTTTGCTCTGAATTACCCTGGTATTGTCAGGGTGCACATCTGAACCCCAGGTAGAATCCTCAGCCAGCTGAAACCACCAGGACTCTGGCTGCTGATACTGAGCAGAGCTAGGATTTCACTAGGCATAATGCTTCTTGTGACATCTTGGTTTTTGCATTACAGTTCATCTTCCATGTCTGTTCCATACTCCCATGTCTGAGCACCTCCATTTGTGCTGTACAGCACCCAGCTGCCAGGACCCACCCTTGCATTGTACAGAAGCCATTCCATTCTGCCCTGCTCATCACAACGGGTTAGGCAACGGCTTTTCTCCAGGGGGCTGCTGAGGTGTAAGGACTGGACCCCCAAGGCTTTCTGGGAACTGCACATATTGGCTACTCTGTTATCTGTACACTGGAGTGGGAGGGGAATTAACCCTTTGAGCAAACCTGGAGTGGTTACTCAGTGTCTGATCCTACCTCTGATAATGGACAGTGCAGGATGGGGTGAAACCGGAGGCTTCTTATCACAGTTCCCCATCCCCTAAAATAGAAGAGAATAATACTAAACAAATAAATATTTCTTTTTCAAACAAGCTTACTATCAACGTAGATGTTCCTTTACTGTTCTGGAACAACCAAGCTTATTTTTTACTCAACCAGTTTCAAGTGCTTGTGATATTGATCTATCGGAAAGCAAAAAGGAAAAGAAAAAAAAACAAAAACAACTGACCAGAGAGGGAAGTTCTAAGGACCAATTGGGGGAATGGCCTGAGGTTGTTCCAGGATGAACACTGGGTAGTTTCAGGTTGGTTAGTTGGAAAAAATTATTCTCCAAAAGAGATATGAGGTATTGGAATGGGCTGCCCAGGGAGGTGGTGGAGTCCCTGTCCTTGGAGTGTTCAAGAAACGTGTAGATGTGGTACTGAGGGACATGGTTTAGCTGGGAAATGTTGGTGGTAGGTGGACAGTTGGACTAGATAATATTAGTGATTCTATGTTTCTATCTTTATGAGTTGTAATTGCTATGCTTCTATTAAAGAGAAGACAAGACGTCAAGAACACTGCATCACCCAGTGCTATTCAGAACACAGAGGCTTTCCACCACGGGTAAAAACTAAATATGAAATTTGGGAAGAGGAGAGAGTTTTTTTCTGAGAGGCAGCAACCTTCTTTTTCAGACCCTAAGCATTAACTAATTTATCTTGCCCATAAAATTGCATCAAGAATCTTAAAATTATGAAGTTAACAAAAATGATTCTGGGAAATCTGAAGCAGCATGAAGTTCCAGTACTACAAAGACCTGCTCTTAGTCATGTCATGTCATAAAATCACAGAATCATAGAGTCACTGAGGCTGGCAAAGACCACTTAGATCATCTGGTCCAACTGTCACCACTACACCCACTAAAATATGTCCCTCAGTGCCACTTCCACATGTTTCTTCATGTCGCATATTGATTATAGTGACCATTCAATTTTCACTGCCTGCCATTTTCTTGCTATGGAAATAAGTCTGTGCTCTGTACTGGAAAGAAAATTTTAATCAGGTAAAGGTTCTTATAAATATATCAAACGTCTTATGTGAACTTGACTGTGAAAGAACTGTCTCCCAAGCTTTGGATAACATGCTTGGCTGTAACCCATTGCCAACAGCAACTGTTCTGGGAGTGTGCCTTGACTCATGGCTGTGGCACCAGAAAGCAATACTCCTGGTGGGATGTGCATTCAGGTGCACTTATCAGGAGGATGGGCTGACCAAGGCCAAGCTGGTGATACACCAGCAATCTCAACATGATCTGATCCATGTGACCACGTTATGAAGCCTGGGGCATGGGGA